TTGAAGAAAAGCCTCTTCAATCCTGAGAGAACATGAACACTGTCAAAAAGTTGCTGTCAGTGTCCTTGTAGAGAAACATGGATTGTGAGTATGTGGTTTGTTTATTCCATGTAAGATGTATTTATTTGCAAATTAAATAAATTACATTTATTTAAATAAGTTATATATTAAAATAAATTCTACATTTAAAAAATATTTCAAATAAATACATTTAACAATTTATCCCAATCAATTCTGAAGTACCACTGTTTAGTCAATTTTTTTATGTTTTTCAATGTTTGTGTAAAAGCAATTTATGCAACTGTATTTGTTTTTTACTTTTTTAGCTATCCTTCTGGTACAGAAAAGCTGGTACTAGCAAAAGAGATTCTGTCATTGTTCCCCTCAGGTGCTCTTTGGTGAAAATGAGGGACATGTAAGAATGTTTTTACATTATAAACTGAATTTATTAGGAATGTGTATATAAGTTGCTCATTTATTTGACTTTCATTAGTTCTGTTTTTACATTACTAATGTCAGGAGGATTTTTTTTTTTGCTAGGCCATCACACAGTCAGACGGAAGCTTCAACAGAGCCAGTGGGTGTACAGTTTAAAACATCATCATTGTACACCGCAACCTTCTTCACCAAGTCCAGATGAAACCGTGAAACCGTACCAAGTGAGTGGTTGTCTCTGATAAAGGAGATGCGACCATCACCAGACAATTTATCATCAATAAAGACTGCAATCAATCAAACCTTCAGTTACAGAAAAAGATGGATAACAACAAAATCCCTTCAAAATCTCTTGCTGAAATCTTCAAGGACTATCCCAGATTTCTTGACATGCCAGCTTTGGTAATAGACATGCTCAACTAAGACAGAACTTTACACAGACATTTATTTCATAATTGTAATATTAATATTTCTTTGTTTCTGATTTCTTTCTTTCTTTAAAGATGGACATTGAATTTTCCAAGCTCACAGATGGGAACGAAGACTTGTTTATCCAGAAAAGGGAAGGGACGATAATTCCAGAACTCAAAGAAATAGCATCTTGGAGAAGAAAATTGACATCAGGCTCTTACTGAAGATGGCTGACAATCAGCATGATGGTAGTTTCAGCCAAAATATCTGTTGCATGTGCACACTTTTCTAAAAATAGTTTAAAAGATAAAACTGTGAATATTAATATTCTATTAAAGATATTAATTTCTAATATATTTTGTTTAAATTCTTATTTTGCATGTGACCTGAATCTTCACTTCAAGATGAGCTGTTAAACTGTAAAGATCCTTATTCATCTTCTTCCACCCACTGCCTCTGGGAGAAGTGTTGCTGGGAGTAAATGCTGTGTGACTTCTGCTGTGTCCTACCTGTTGGAGCAAGTGCCGGTATAGTTTTTATTGGTTTAGCTTATGATAAATAAAATGTTTCTAATGCAGCAACATTTTCTTATGCTTTTTATTGTTTCATTCCTGAAGGCTGGTACCACCGTTACATCTTTGCTCACTGAATCCATGAAAGGGACCCTGAAGTCAGCTCAGCCGCAGTTGGTTTCTATTGGTTGTCTAGGACATGGATCCTTGTACGTGTACGTGTACTTGTAGCTGTGGCAAAGAATGACTCTTTTGCTCTTCCACTCGATCCTGAAAGCCTGACCTGTGCTGTAGACAGACTTTTCAAATTCTTCTGGCTGTGCAATCTTCAGTATCCATGCCAACTGTCTTCTGTTTTTTCTTTTTTTTTGAGTATATATATATATATATATATATATATATATATATATATATATATATATGACCTTTCCTTGTCCCAGTCATCTTGCACACGATCAAAGGTCATGGAATTAATTGCTAAGGTGCAGTCTTGTACCTAATTGAAATAAGCATGTACACCTATCCAAAGTGTCTTTAAAATGATTTTGTAATTTGGCATTTAAGGGAAATGCATGCACTCTCTGATAGTCACAACCTAACTTTAATTTGTAGTCAAAATCGTTGCATATCATAATTTAAATTCCTTTTTAAAACATCTAAACAGATCATTTTAAAATTAATTCATGCCCTTCTGAAGAGTCAGGACACACAGGGAACGAGAGTTTTAAGAGTTAAGTATTTTGATGAACATATTTTTTTCTTCAGTGTCATCAGAACAAATCGTTTTCTCTTTGCTTTGCTGTCTGGGGACTTAATAGATTACAGACCTCTAGACATTTTGTCATTTTGTGATCAGCAGTATGTATCTCCTAAATACAAAATATTGTTTTAAACATGTTAGTGATTGAAACTTTGGTAACACTTTATAATAACTACACACTATAAATCATTTATTAAGCATTAGCAAATGGTGAATTCATTAATTTGTAAAGCGTTAACTATACATTATAAGACATTAGCGGTTTACAAATGCTGTATTCTTGACTTATAAGTAAATGTTTAATGTGCTTAATAATTGTACCTTCACATTTTGCTTCTGATTATTTTTTCACTACTAAATTAAGGACTGCATTATTTACAAACCATTTGTATTTGAAAGTATGAATTATAAAAGTACAATTGTTAGGCACATTATAAATGTGCTTATACGTCAAGAAAACAGCCTTTGTAGTTGTATATAGAAACCACCTACTAATGTCTTATAATGTAGATTTAATGCTTAACAAACAGTGAATTAACTACTGTACTTGCTAATGCTTAATAAATAATTTATATTGTGTCGTTACTATAAAGGGTTACCTAAATGTTTGAAGTGTTTTGACTAGATTTGACAATGATTTATTTTGTTAAGACAAGCACCTTACATGTGGGTGAATGTATAAACAGTGTGCTATGGTTATTTATTTCTTTCACTAGAGAATAATTTTGAAAATGGATATGTTTCATACATATTTGACATTTTATTGGCATGCGTAACAGATACGAGTTCAATTTAATGAATACTTTTATAAAGTGAGTTTTTATATTATGTACAATGAATTGCTGTAAAACATTTGAATGCATTTGGGAAAATTAAACAGTATGTGAACAGTGTTTAATGTTTCCTGTGAGATTTTGTATATTCATTTTACATTTATAATATTTTTTACATTTAAAATTACAAAAAATGAATAGTAACACACAGTTGTGTTAAACACATACAAAAATAACACATCTGTGTGTCAACTTAAGCTGCACATTAATGTGTTACATTTTATGACACATTTTGTGTGTTAAACTTAACTCAACATGTGTTGTCCCTGAGCACACTCAGGAAATGTGTTGAAAATAACACATGTTGTGTTGTTTTCAACACATTCCTTTTTAGAGTGTATGTATGTTTGTGTATATACACACACACACACACACACACACACACACACACACACACACACACATATATATATATATATATATATATATATATATATATATATATATATAAACACACACACATGCATATGTCCTCCTGACACCCTAAGAATTTTTTTTCTTTATTTTTTCTTTGATTTCCAACATACTTTGGGTAAAAACTAAATTCTACAATTTAGAGGTTTTACATTTTGTTTTTATTTTTAATTTTACAGCATGTCCACTGTAGTGGACCACTATATATATATGTGAGTGTATGTATATTATGTTCCTCAATAACAAGCTAAAAAACGAAAGAAAAACAGCAAACATTTGAATCTGAATATATGAACATGAACAATGTGAACCTGAACAAAAGACTAACATTAAATGTTAATTACAGACGTATCCTAATGACTGCATGAGTTTCATTTTGAACAACATATGAACAGATTTAAATCAAATGATAATCTTATTTTTAACCCACAGAATCACAGTTTTATAGGCCTCTCGTACACTGTAAAATCCAAAGGCTAAAGCAACACCAGCATTTACTCTGGCACTCTTCTTTCTCCTTTTTGAATTGTGGTTTGCAAAATTGCAGGCTTCTCTACCTACTGTTGTGACTCACTTGTCTCGAGGCCAATGTTTTAAATTTGACTTTGACTTGCCTGTTACCTTTTTTAAATACAGCACTAAATGCGCAGTCCTTCGTGGAATACTAAAGCTGCCAAAAGCAGCAACTGTCTAGCAGAGAAGACTGTCGACGTGATATAATGAGAAGGTTCTTCTGTAAAATTGGGGTATTTTTGCACCTCGGGCTGAACTCGACGCAGGCCACGTCTCCCACTTCTCCTCTGTCTTAGGAGAGTGATGGCTTTGGGATGTATAATTGCATATAGTTTTTTATGACAGTTTTTTAATGTGCTGCTTCCTTCCTTGCTTGGTTAAAAAAGCCCTCTTGTATTCGATCAAAGCACGAAGACTAACCTCAAGTAGATTAAGCAGACATACAAGTGCATTACACAATTATAAAAGGAAAAACTAAATGCTCTCTTAAAAATTAAGTAAAAAAACTCTTTCTACAAAGGGCTATTTCTAGAGTTATTTCTTATTGAATTACATAATATTTTTTACTCTTCTCTAAAATATTCGATAACACTTTAAAATAATGGTCTATTATGTTAGCTGATGTATTTACTTACATGTGCAACGTTAATGTTATTTTAGTTTACATGGTTAGTTCATGTTAAATCAATTTGCATTCAGCAATGTGAACAAGCACAACTTTAGATTGTAATAATACATTAGTTAATGTTTAACTATGATTATTAAATGCTTTACAAGATTATTCATACTTAATGTTAGTAAAAACATTTAACTAACATTAACTAATGGACTAGAATACAAATCATAATAAAAATGAACTTTTTTTCACAGTTAAGTACCCCTTTTCCCCCCATTAAATAGATCTTCAAAATTGTATACTTCAGTTATGATCTTGCTACTGAAAGTTAACATTGTCTAGGGAAAAAGTGAGAATAAATTCAAGATCTGTTATCCTGTGATGCAAATGAACATCAATGTATTAATGCTTTTTAAACTCTTATGTATTTCAGATGTTGCATATTAACACATAAGCAGAAATTTGATGGAAATTCTCTCTTTTCTCCCCTCTTTCTGCTGTTTCAGTTGTTCCAGACCTAGACTTGACCAAACAGTTCATGCACCCGGAAACTGCTCCCCCTAATCTGATTAAGCTGATCGAAGCAGTTGAGCGGTCAGGTAATACTTTTTGTCATTGACTGTCATGTAAAGAGCTTTATTGTTTGTGGTTTGTTTGTTAGAGAAGCTGACACATGATACGCAGAGCTCAAAATCTAGAGTGAACAGAGCCTCCGGCCACAAGAAAAGAGCAAAAAAAAAAAAAAACACATACACTAGACCTTTTTTTTCTATGTACATCAATTTTAAAATTTTGAGCTTTTGAGTTCATCTAGATTTTTTTGAGGTCAGTGTGAAGAAAACATCTAAAATACACTTTGTAGTGCCTTTTGTCTTTTTGTGTAAACAAATCTAAGGTGAGTTTTTTTCCTATATTTCTGCTTCAGCAGTCTTTCATACACCAGACATGTTTTATAAAAACGTGTGTTCTAAAGGTTTTCACAGAGTTCTGTAATTAGCCTGATCATTTTGTTGTCTGGTTGTATTTTGTAAATTTATGGAGATACTCAAATGATAATCAGAACGTTGACTAATATGTAAAAAGAATCAAGAATTTTTAACTAGGGCTGCACAATATATTGTTTCGGCATCAATATCACTATGTGTGCATCGGCAATAGTCACATCACGTAGATATGCATTGCTGAGTTACGATTATATTTAAACAAAAAACACAGTTCAGAACATGAGAATTGTGGACTCGTTGCAGAGTTTTACCACAACGAAGTGAAATTTTATAATTTGCATGTTTTTAAGGCCTGAGAGCGATTAAAGTATTCAGACACAAAAGTTTAATATTGCATTATTCATACAATAAAGTCTTTGCAGTGTAGTTTTTACATTTATATTTACAAAACCACGTTTGCAGTTTACATTATTATATTTGATGCATTATTCACTTCCCTACAGAATCATCCCAATTATTCTAAATTATTACATTTGGTAACACTTTAGGGACCAATGCTTACTATTAATTAATTGCCTATTAGCATTCATGTTATTAAGATATTGGCTCCTTATTAGTACTTATAAACTAAATGTTCTGCAAGATCTTATTCTACATCCCTAACCCTATACCTAAACTACCTTAATATCTATGAATAAAGAGCAAAGTTTATTGAAGCAGAAGTCATAATTTTGATTTGCTAATAGCGTGAAGTGAGCGTTACAATAAAGCGTGACTACAACTTATATAACTTAAGTACTGAGTACTGATTCTGAAACTTTTTGTAACTTTGCATAAAGCAAGGAGATCTCTTAGTAAATTAAGGATTTTTCATATGCCTTATAACCATTTAACATGGACATGTTGCGGTCAGAAGCAGCTTTACAGAAAATGTTAATAAAACAGATAATAAATGGTTATAAAAATAACTCCTATTGCAATTTGGAAACATTGTAAGGGATGAAGGAAAATTGTAAGCTGTCTCAATCAAGAAAAAGTTTGGAGTGCATATTTAATAGGGCTGTAACGATACACGATATAAAATCGAAATCGCGACACTCAGATCTACGATCCTGTGTCGCGGTGTGATAAGGGAGAATCGCGACACACCCACCCCGTGATACCTTTCCAATAACGTCACGTGTGCCTGCAAAAGTTGAGCTAATTAACACTTTTTTTCGTTCGACATTACAAGCACTGCTCCGTTTAAGCCCTTGCAATATTTAGCCGGGAGAGCTCGCACGGAGCTCTTAGTAAGGGGCCGTCTGAATGTGTCAAGAATATCAAAAACAAAACCAACTTAACCCCGCTTGACAACCGACAACGCCAGAAACATTGCCAATGCTGTCAAAGCGGCCGGATTTTCAGCGCATATACGATGATTTGATCACACTGTTAATGTGGCTGCGCAGAGAGGGATGGGCGTTCACCAGATGTTAGGTATCAGCCAAACTTTTCTGTAACTGTGCAGTGCGCTTTCTGTTTGAACCTTTGAGAGTGCTGACTGACAGGTGCGTGAGGTCAGAAAACACGACGAAGCTTTCAGTTAAAATAAACACCGTTTCTATAGTTATAGCCTACTTTATTTAGAGATAAAGGTAGCCTATATGGCTCTGCATATAATCACTCTATCTTGCTGGAGTTTATAGCCGTTTCGCTTTACTTCAGGACGCATTAACACCGCTCTCTAATCGTTGTTTTAAGTTATCCAGAGCTGTATGAATATACAAATCTTGAATATCACAATAGTATTAAATATTACAATTGTAATAACACAGACAGCAACACTTTTGCACAATCGATACCCAGCTGATTCAGTCGTTTCATAAGAGGACCGCGCCTCTTCTTTTTTCCTTGTCAACATAAAGGCAGTAAGGTGCGCCTTGTTTTCGGCCACTTGTTTAACTGCAAGGCATACTTAATTTGCGGGATGATAACGTATAACCCGTGCCTACAGACACATTTGCTAAAGAAGCAAAATGGAAGAAGAATATTGCTGTTTGATACAGACCTGTTGATACTAAACCAGCGCTTATGTTGACCTGGATCTGCGTAATAAACGCAACAAATAGGCTTTACTTTTTATTTTACAGCTTAAAACATGTACGCAGATTAATGCAATATCATATTTAAACAAACTGTTTACAAAAAGTCTACATATGCGCGCGTGTTGTTGTCTTTTCATCAGGCAGCGCGCGCACTTGAACCGCGAGGGAGAGAGAGGAAACCATAGGCTATATCAGGACATAATCTTTAAAATAAGGATTTCTATTAAAATGTAAAAGGTTTTGTGATTATAATAATAACAGCGGGGCATTAAATAAATGCATATTTTCCGTGGAGCAAGCAATTTGAGGAAGTCTGCGATTTTTATTTGACGGAAGAAATAAACATGATTGGAAAAACAGCCTATGCCGGTTATTAAAAAGAATCAGTCATTTTCGTTTTGTAAAATAAATGAATTATTTAAGTGAAAATAATTTAGGGCAGTCCTATTTATTTTATTCATTTTATTTAGATTATTCTGCTCTTCTGTGCTAAACACTGCAGGTGCGTGAAGATGCTCTGTTGTTCTGTTCCGCTATTAATATATAAAAATAAATCAGTATTTTAAAATGCAATATTTAATGTGTCATACACAAAATAGACACGTCAATTTGTTTAATATAAAATTAATAGTAATCTGACCAGTTCACCGTTAATAACCGATTAATGAGCGGCGGTTGTCGGTTAGCAAAATTAACGAAATGAGCATCCCTAGCTATTTAATTTACCTTTTCTATGCAAGAGAACTTGATTGAAAAATAATTTTCAACATGCTTGAACCATCTAAACAATGGAGTTTAGTTTGGTTTTTCAACAGTATTTTGTTACAAAGAAAACAGAAGTGATATAGCTTTGGCTATTTATTTATTTTATATATGGCTATTTATATTGTTAATAATTTGCATAGTTAATATTGAACTTTGATGTTTAGTTTATAAAGATTTTTCAAATGTTATTTAATTAAAAATAGTTTTAAAAATCTTTTTTTTTTCCCACCCCACACAAAAAAAATTAAATAAAAAATCGTGATACGAATCGAATCGTGGGTCAAAAATCGTGATACGAACCGAATCGTGGGTTTGGTGTATCGTTACAGCCCTAATATTTAATTAATAAAAATAAAATGTGCACACCTATAAATCCATTACTTAAAGGAAATAAGCATAAAACCTACTGTTTATTGCAATTAAAAATATATTACAAAAAGTTGTGTTATTAAATATTATTAAATATTTTTTTATGTTTTTTATTTCCCTAATATTTCCAGCCAGGGTTTAGTGAACTTGCAATATTTTTGAAAACACAGACATTTTAAGTTCTTAAAGCAAAATTTAAAAAAGCCTAAATACATGCAATGCCATTTAAATATATTGATAGACTCCAACTATTGACAGCAACACAATGATCGCAGTACTGAAGAGCCTTACAGCAGCTCGATTACACGATGAGAGAGAGAGAGAGAGAGAGACAAACACTTGTCAGAGGTTCATGAGATCGGCCTGATTAGTGTGTACTGATCGAGTCATGAAATGTGATTATTGGCCGGTGCCGATCGATAGGAGCATCCCTATCGTGCAGCCCTATTTTTAATCATCATTTATTGTTCAGTATTTTTCTGGTGGTGATGTTTGCAAATTTGAGAATATGTAGTGAAACAATGCCTCTTTTGGATATTGAATCTCTTACACACAATTAGTGCTCTTGAAATATGAACTGGAGGTGGGTCCAGATTGAATTCTGTCCAGACCCGGACTGGAGTCTGAAAGCCCTGGTCTATAACTTATTTTGGTTACAATTTCTTAATTGTAGTGTAAATGAACACACTTTTTACTGTCAAAAACACCCCAATTCACAGCTCTTTAAATGAAAATGAGCTGATGCTCACCCTGAGCTTTAAAAAGCAATCTGGGAAAGCTTTCTTGGTTCACACGAGCCAGTTTTTGCCCACTCGTACTAGGATATTCCCTTCATATTTAAAATTAAGCCATTTTACGGTTGTCTCTTTTGTGTAAGGACTCCTGTAAATACAGAACAGGATAACTGGTCACACTTTTTGATGGTTCGTTTGTTAAATTTAAGTTAAAAGACTAGGTAGTTACATCAAAACTGAAACGGGTCACAGGATGACTCGTTTTAAAACTCAAACCTTTTATAAGAAACTGGCTGCATGTTTTCTTTTTAGCTTTTCTAAGCTGGCAGACACAGCAGAAACCAAACTAAATATTTAATAAAAAATGCACAGAAGAGAAAAAATCATCCGTTGTCACCTTTAATGGATTTATTTTAATAGATATTTCCACATTGAAAATGATATTAAAAGCAGAGGTGTGAAATGGTTTTTATGACACCATATGGCAGTTATTAAGATGCAGATTTCAGTCCTACTCTTTCTCCGTCTTCTCACTTCTTCCCCAACTGCAGCAAAGCTCAGGGATTCGGCTGGGCTCTTTTCCCAGTTCTGATAGCGTGACTGGATATATTTATATCTGCAGGCTTTTACATTTAATGTTTAGATGTAACTGCTCCTCTAATCCAGGCTGGCATGGAAGGGCTATTTTTGAGAGGTGAGCTAATGCCTCGATTCTCTGCTAGGTCTGGACTGCAGGACACTGTACAGGACTTCAGCCTCTGACAATCAGCGACCGAGCCTCAGCGGTGAGTTATTGCACACTTTTTCCCCCCTTGTAGATTTGCTCTTTCCTGCACTGGACCGTTTTTTAGTTGCATGTCTGCAAACATACCAAGGTTATAATAGTTTTGGATTTTTCATTAGTTTTACTTTTTATTCTGTTAGTTTTAGTTTTTAGAGGCAGATTTACTAGTTTTTATTAGTTTCTATATTTAGAAATTGCTTGGTTTTAGTTTAGTTTTTATTTGTTTTAGTATTTAGTTTTTTTTATAAATAAGGATATTTGTTAGGTGCAAGATTCAAAATTTAAAAAAAAAAACTTAATCAAAGATACATTTTTTAAAACATGTATTCAGAGGACACATGACCACTATTATCTACCACTACCATCTACACATTTTCAAGTTCAAATGCAATAGCCCACAAGATAGCTGCCTTAAGTAAAATATGTGTGCAAGGCTGCTTCTGAGGTTAGACGCACAGTAGTGATAGGAAGTTCAGATCTTTAATGTGAACCGGATCTTCTCAAGTTTGGACTCATGAACTGAAAAGTTTCTTACAATTATGCTTTGCAACCCAACTGAAGCATGATTCACTTATTTCAACTCCATTACGATTTTCTGTTATGAAATAAACCTTCAAAACACTTTTCATAAAACTCTTATTTATGTCCTTGGTTTACACGCACTGCAGTTGTTCAAGTTTAGTTCAGTCATAGCAGGCTGTCGTGGACTGTTTGTGTTTGCTTCACCTGCTGTGCAGTATTATCCATTCACCGCTTCCCAAATCTGATCTTATTATACTGTTCTAATAACTGAATAACTCAGTATTTACTGGTTTATTTTCGTGTCAGAGGGGTGGTATTAGGCATGTTAAAAAGTTAGTAGTTTGTGGACAAGAGAGCTTACTGGAGACGCGACTAGTTTCAAATGATTCAGGTCGAGTGTGAAGTAAATAGATTTACTTGTAAATGGCATACAGAAGGCTTATATATTAAAAACATTTACAAAGACGAAAACGAAGGATGTTTTTGCTATAATTTTAGTTAGTTTCAGCTAGTCTTGTTCATAAACTATACAGTTCTAGTTAGTTCTAGTTTTAAAAAAAATCTAGTTTTTATTTCTATTTCAGGTCACGAAAATGTTTTTTTTTTCTTCTTTTTTTTTCTTCGTTTTCATTAACTGTAATAACCTTGAAGCATACAGGTTCAGCTCTTGAGGATTTGAATTGGTTTTGAATGTGTGTGTGTGTGTGTGTGTGTGTGTGTGTGTGTGTGTGTGTGTGTGTGTGTGTGCGTGTTATTTTTATGTGTGTTATGTTATTTTTTATTCATTTAGAACTAATCTCACACATAATTTATTATGATTAAATCAAATTACTCTCAAAAAGTTTTTGAAAAGTTTAAATGGTACTTAAATGGTAATTTAAATGGTAACTTAAATGGTAATTATTAAAGTATTTAATAATAATATACTACTACTAATACCACTTATAAAAAAAATATATATATATTTATTTTAAATATTAACTGTGATATGGTGAATAAAATAAACTGCAATCATATCTACTGTAATAACAACAATAAAATTACATTGACATTATACTGAAGTTTTATTTTGACAAAAACTTCTGGGAAACTTCTGAACTTTTGAAATGCGTTGCTTTCTTTTCTTCCAAATTGTGAAGAACTACTAAGGGTTTGATCGAGTCACCCAGCGATTACCATAGTATCAGAACATTTCTGTATTTCGTACATGTCTGCCGTGTTTGACCGCCGTCATTTGTCCCCACGCAGAGCTGCAGGATCTGGACGTGGGACAGTGGGACATTCATGCGCTTTCGGAGGCTGTGATTCGGTACCTCCAGGACCTTCCTGCCCCCATCATCCCTCCCTGTGTTTATACAGACCTTCAGGCAGCAGTGCAGCTCGAATCGGGTACGTGCCATTTTTCACTCATCCGTGCAGGTTGAAAAGAGCAGCGTGGATCTAGAAAGTAACAGAATTATATGAGCAAATAGCACTGATTTTCAGTGTCTGCCTCGTGTTTGCTGGATCTTTTGATGACCTGTGTGCTGGCGATGATGTCATTCACAAACACACATCCCTATCTTCGTATAGGCTTGTGTATATTGTTTAAATATTTATTTTCTCTATTTAACAGTGTTGATATTTGTATTAGCTATAAAGGCTGATTTCTATTTTTGCAGCGAGTGATTGGCATGACCCATGGCGCCTGCCTGCGTGTAGTCTTGCATTTTTACTTGTGCGTGCTGTTTGTGTTGCTCTGCAATAACACATCCGAAACGCTAGCTGGCAGTAGGTTTTTATGTTCCTCTGTGTCGAGTTTCTTCACAGGTGTTTTGTTTTTCTGAATTACAAGTAACTAAAACTCGCTCATTCAGCTGTGGAAACTGTTGGACATGCAACAATTTGAATCATAAGGTGAACACAAAACAAAAGTTTTCATCTGGAGCTCCTTCATGCGAATGGACGCTTGTAAACACTCGCTCTAAAGTGCTTGTGGCTCTCAGCACTGCCCATGCACATCATCACTACCAAACTGACCAATCACAGAGCTTGCACCATGCGTCGTTGCAATGTGTAGTTGTTTGTCGTTATTTTTAGAGGGCTATGTGACCGTCTTCATTAGTCTACTAGTCTTCATTAGACCTTTCTATGTTCATGTTGCTTAAATGAATTTATTAAATGATACATTTTCAAAATATGAAAACCTTTTGTCAGTGGTCTAAGTATTGTTTTGAAATAATAGCTGTAATAGTTAGCTATTAATAGATGTTTGGTATATGTTTTACACGCTATAACGTATATTTTCAGTTTATTATTAATATTATAGTTTTTATTATCTAAAAAAAACATTAAATGTACTGTTACTGAACTGTGAAGTATTTAATTATATTTGTATTTAATATTACTGCTAGTACTTCTGTTGCTAATGATAAATTATATTTTTATTAATCAATTTATTAAAAAACAAGACCTGTAATGATATTAAGTTGTAAGTTATTATATATAATACTACTACTATTAGTTGTAGTACTACTGCTACTACTACTACTACTACTAATTATAATAATAATAATAATAATAATAATTATTATTATTATTATTATTACCTCACCACACATTAACCCTAAAACATTATTAATTATGACTTTGCCTTACACAGTTGAGTGGGCTTGACAAACCACCAGTAGAAAACATACTCTTTCTCCCTTTTGACACTTTATCCGACACTTGAACCAGTTTTTTGCACATTTGCACCAGACACGTTCTTACAATCATTCCATATAAAAAAAACATTGTTCATTTATAAAATGTGCTTCACACAAGTGAGTGAACTCGACAAACCACCTGTAGAAACACTCACCTGTAGAAACACATGCAACAGAGCTTCAGAGCCCCCCCTATCCAAAAACACCATATATGTGTATATATACCAAATATACTGAGCACAAACAGTTCCTTTGTATAATTAGCACTTCTTGTGTGTAATGCCTCTTCTTGATGAATTGCTGAATGCCTTAATTTTAAGTTGCTTTGGACAAAAGTGTCTGCTAAATGACAATGTAAATTATTATTATTATTTATTATTTTCTATAACAAAAAAAAATTTATATTTAAAACGTGCTAATGTTGGTGTCATTCCGGAACAGACGTCCCCTCCGTGAGGAGACGTGAGCTGCTTCAGCAGGTCCTGGACAAGCCTGAGGTTCCTCTGCAGAACCTGCTGACACTGCATTATTTGCTTCAACACCTGGACAAGGTCTGTCAGTCCGCTGAGCAGAACGGCCTCGACATTTACACCCTGGGCCAGATCTTCGGCCCTCTCCTGTTCAGGGGCCCTGTGAGCGGGTGAGCTCAACATTTAGCTGCTTTTAACTTTTGAAAATCTGCTGCCGAATATGAGCACACATACTAATCTTCTCTATGCCTGATTGGCAGGTCAGAGGAAGATGAGGCGTTTCCTGCAGCTGCAGTTGAGAGACTTCTTTTGGAGAGAATTTGGGAACAAGAGCCGACTCCTCCCGGTTTGTTTGTATTAATAATAATGATGCTTTTTAAATTTTTTTACTGATAGACTGTCAGTGAGATTTATCATCGTCATCTGTGTTTACTAGCTGTTTGATGCCAAATATGATTATATTTATATGATTATGCCAAGTAGTGTGTTAAAAAAAGAAGCTTTGTCTTTTCCTCTATAAACACTTGTTAGGGCCGACCAATTAATCAAAGTTGATTTTCATGTGCATTTTGTCAGTAAAGCCGATTCTATTTAACCTATAGCCATTGCTTACATATGGAGCAGCATTTACTACCCAGCACTATATTTCTCTAAAATGTTACACAAAATTTAGTTTAAAATTAAAACCAGTTTAATCAAACACTGAAATTGAGATAAATTGTTCTGTGATAATAACACCTGTTTGGGTCGCTTTTCAGTAAACCACGGCTCTGTGTAGTAAATGCTGCATGTGAAAATACCACATATAACAAAATTTTTTATTTCTTTTTGTCCAAACTTGCGTAAAAACTTCAGCCAAACTTCATCGTTTGAGTTAAATCCTTTTGTGAGATGATTTCATACTTGTGGATTTTGTCAGTAAAGCTGGTTCTACTAAACCCAAAGTCATTGCATTTAGATGGAGCAGCATTTACTACACAGCACGGTTGTCCACTGAAAAGTTACGCAAAATTGAGTTCAAAATTAAAATCAGACAATGATGAAATTGATTTAAGTCAATTGTAGTAACATAGTTGTGTTATTATTGGTCATGCTGAATCGATTAAAGCAGTTAAATCTTCTGTTTGTGCTGTAGCGCTAGTATAATTTTCTTTGTGGGTATTTGGAGTTTCTGCTTAAAAGCGCCCTCTGGCCTTCGAAGGAAATTTGCTGTTGATCACACAACCCTGCTTCCCTGACAGGATGTGCATGACAATCGCAGCTTTCCTTGATTATTTTTACAATTTCAATTCAGTTAATATGCCAGACCGCTGTTGTGTAAAAATTGTGAATATTAGATTATAAACTGGTTTCTCAGGATTGAATAATTTATGTTTATTTTGTGATTTAGACCAAAACATGGCAATTTAAATGATAAAATAAAAATATATTACATGAATATGTAAAATATACTATATTCAAAGTGCTTAAAGTACTTAATTTTACCATTTAGAAAATTAAGCTCTCTTCAGTTTGTACAATATATTTGCATTGTGGGATGCTTATGCTTTTATCAGGTTTTCAAGGTAAGATATCTATGAAAAAGAGGAAATAAATAAGCTATAGAAGTTCTAGTCAAAGAAAGCAGAGACTCACTCTTTTCAGCAAAATTATTCAGCATATTATAATGATTTATTATGGTTAGGACTGACTGGAACTTTAGCTTTACCTCACAGGCATTAATATTTCACAATATTGCTGCTGTGATTGCTGTTTTTCTGATCAAATTAATGCAGCCTTGGAGAGCAAGAGCTGTCTTTAGAGAACCTAAAAATCTTTCTGGAAGCCATCATGGATTTGCTAACAAATTACACCAGAAGAGCTTCATCATCCCTGTAGAGTAGCATTTAGTTCAGAAGAGAAAAGCTCATGCTGTTGCCAGATATCTGGCCTGTCAGCCGAAGGGACTGATCCCTCAGCGATCTCTGTTACACCCTTGAGCAAGACAGGTGACTCTAGAGACTCTGAAAGATAACATCACGCGTTTCTGCGGTGATGAGGATCCATGAAAGCAAACACTGGCCCCAGCCGTGTAGAGATGAAAAGAGATTTATTTATTTTAATCATAAATATTTGTATCGTATTTCCCTTGTTTATCCAGCTCTTCCTCCAAAACCGCCCAAAGCCAAAGCCATGGCCTCATCTGTGACTAATGGAAGCGACAGCTTACTGAGTGAAGCTGAATGGTACTGGGGAGATATTTCAAGGTAAATTACTGGTCTAATTAAACATGTGGCTGTAATTTAAGAGTGTAACACAAAATTATTAGCTTTCCTGTAAAATTTGCCATTCTTTTTCAAATATTTCCCAAGTGAGGATTTTCTGAGAAAGGAAATTTTCACATTAGCTATGTTTCCATCCAAAAATGCGAATTAACTTTATGCATCAATATCGCATAAAAGTCGTGCCAATAAAGCAGCATTTCCATTTAAGAAGTCAAAGAGAACAAAATAATCACTTCCTGATTAACAGTAAAAGCTTGTAGGAGAATAAATAGGAGAGTAAAAGCTGCGTGAATCTTTTCTTCATTTAATAAATCACTTGTGCCTCAGAAGATGGGGCAGGCATCAGACACGGAGCACAGACGCTCCTGACAGTTCTGGAGGTAATTAATAATATAATAACAATAACATTAAAACAGTGAAGTCGTTTTAGAATGACCAAAACAACATTTCAGATGTTTTAAAGTTTGCTCAGCCTGTTGGTTTTTCCATTCACTCACATTTTTATTATCACATGATCTCTTATAACAAAATTACATGACGTTTTTTTAATGCGCTAACTGGAAAAAATTGTTATATTAAATATAAAGTTTATCCTACTCACTTATGCACATATGTTTTTTATGCAAATTTTTTCAATTGATGCACATTTTGGTGTTTTCATCAACCTTTTTTATGTGCGTATCCAAAATGTGCAAAGAAATAGATGGATGGATGCATAGCTAGTGTTTCCTTTAATTTTTTTCTTCTGGAAAAAGTCTTATTTTAATTTGGCTAAAATATTTCTTTAAATGTTTTAAAAGCATTTATAAGGTTAATGTTATTATTCCAATTAAGATGTTTTCTCCTTTCACTTGGATCTTTATATTTGGGTAATATAAACTTCAATGGATGGACTAGTAAAGACAAGAAACTATTATTTATTCTTCTGGCAGCTAGTAAAAAAAGTAATTAAAAAAAATGTTTAAATGAAGAGTTATCGTCTTTTTTTTTTTTAAGGACTGAATATTTTTTCCTAATTTGGAGTAAGTGGATTGACTACATTTAAGCAGTTTTTTGTTTTTTTCTTGCATTGTAATTTTTACATTTAATTTTATTTATTATAATTGTGTTTTTATTATTTATATGTAATATATATTTTCTTTATTAAAGGCAATTGTTTTAAAAGATTTGTTCCTCCCGAAGTTTTACTGTATAAAGTTGTTGTTGTTAAAGGGAAGAAAATACAAAGCATATGTAAGATCACCAAGTTTCTTTCTGTATTAGAGATTATGTTAGTTATATATGATATTTTGAATCTATATTATCCTATATTTTCTTTTGAAATATCTAATTGAAAAAATGCTTTCTTGATTGTCTACAGAACAAACTACTGTTGTCCAATAGTTTGCTTAATTATCCTAACTTGCCTACTTAACATAATTGGCCTAGTTAACTTTTAAATTGCATTTTAGGCTAAAAACTACTAGGGCTGCACAATATAGCGTTTTAGAATCGATATCACAATGTGATCATTCGCAGTAGTAACATCACGAGTATACACAATATTGAATCTAGATTATAATTATGTAATATAATATATCAAAATAAAACAAGTGTTTTTGAGGCCTGTGCCTGTGTGACGGATTTAAAGGGTTAAAAAATCGTACTGAATTGAATTGTTTATAAAATGAATGACTATGCAGTATTGTTTTACATTTGATTATTCAACTACTGTTTACCTAAGTACAGTTCAACTCCTCGGAAAACAATCAAACACTGTTTATATAATTTGTATGTTTTTTATTATTGTATTGAAATATGCTTCTTGTCTACAGAATCATCCTAATTAATCTAAAATTGTGTACATTTTTCTAAATAATTATTCGTCACATCTAGTTAAATTGTATTCATATCGCAATATATATCGCAGAATAAAAAATATTGCAATGTTAGATTTTTCCAATATCGTGCAGCCCTAAATCTAGCAAAATATCCAGTACAATATTATTTGCATTGTCATTGTGGTAAAGAAAAAAGCAATTAGTTATTATAAAATAGCTATATAAGCTATTAGGTTTATAAGTGTTTTGAACAATCTGTCAAACATCACTTGGGAAATATTTGATGAAGAATTTACATTTCTAACTATATGTGCATGTAGGGGTGTCACGATCGAAATTTATGCTCAACTTCGATTATCGAATCAAAAAATAGAATCGTCGATGCTGCCACGCCCCCATGTCACGTTAGCTTGGCTTGTCAAGCATGAATAAACAGGCTTGTTGAATTGCTTGTTAAACTGCAGACGCAGGAGACCCGTCGACAGAACTTAAACCCTCTCCTCTTTCAATGAAGTCGCCGGTGTGGAAGTATTTTGGATTTCCAGTTAGTTATGTTGACAACGTTCGTGTTGTCGACAAAAAAAACACAGTTTTCAAGCTCTGCCATGTACGTATTACGGTTGGATTGTTAGACGATATGCGCATCGCAACCCTCCGCCCCTCACCCGTTGCAAATCCGCTTGCGAAAAATACACACTCAGGCCCTGTTTACACTAATATGTCTTTGTTTTTAAATGGCATTTTAAAACGACAACGATCCACATCCACACTGGTGTGTAGCATTTCTGAGCAGCCCTCCTTCCTCACTACCGCTGAAAACACACATCACGTGACCACACACACTCATTCACACAGATACAGATGCACACACATTGTCATGCGTTTGAGACAGCGGGCCAAGGCAGTTAGCGAGTCAGTAGACTGCTTCCATCTTTTACTTTCACACACTTACTTAGTCATTTTAGCTAACACCTCAGGTACTGTTGGCTGGTTTCTGTTGGTTGTGCACCTTTTTTACCGACGTCATTATAACGACACAGATCACTGCCTATTCACGAGTCCCGCAGAAAAAAGTGATTGACAGGTTGTAATTATGTGTGTAACTTACCTTTATTCATTTACTGTATGATTTGTTTATGGGTAAAACAAAGACCATGCATGTCAGTAAGTTTAAACGGTAGGCTACAAATAATTAATTCATTATTAATTAATTAATTAATTATTCATAATCAAAAATCGAATCGAATCGTGACTTTAGAATCGAAAATGTAATGGAATCGAGGATTTGGAGGATCGTGACACCCTTATGTGCATGTGATGCTTCTATTTTTTTCAGATAACATACAAACAATCAGGGAACAGACATTATCAATGAAATAATAATAATAATGATGATTACTCAATAGTAAAATCGTCACTAAAAACAAGTCGCTACTTTGTGTGTAATGTGATGTAAATCAGTTCTGTTTTTAATGCATTTTTTGCAGTTGTAAAACCAGTAAAACAAAATTTTCTTCTGTATTAAACTTGTGCAGAATTTAGAATCATCATTAAGAAGATGTAAACCTGGAATAGGTATGTAATCAATGTGTAGTAGATCAAAACATTAACAAATCTCTGTCTGATGTTCACACTTTTAGAGAGGAAGTGAATGAAAAAATGAGAGACACTCCTGATGGTACGTTCTTGGTGCGGGACGCTTCAAGCAAAGTGCACGGAGAGTACACTTTGACCCTCAGGTGAGCACTGTGTCAGGTCAAATCTCATTTGATGTCTAATATGCGACGAATGCATTGCGTAGGTGCGCTGGTGTATTATTTGTTTGATATGCATCATCACAAAGAGGAATTTCTAACAGGGACTCGATGCGATCAAAGCCTTGTGTTGTTTATTCCAGGAAAGGAGGCAATAACAAACTGATCAAGATTTTTCATCGCGGGGGCAAGTACGGCTTCTCTGAGCCTCTTACTTTTCTCTCTGTGGTGGAGCTCATCAACCACTACCGCCATGAGTCACTGGCGCAGTATAACGCCAAGCTGGACTCTCACCTGCTCTTCCCCGTCTCCAAATATCAGCAGGTACATCACCTCCGCTCTTCACAAGCTTCAAACTGATGGTGTCCTTTTTTCCACAGGCTTCATGTTGAAGGAATACCAGACTAATAACCCTTGTGTGCTCTTTGGCATGTTTTGATCCACTCTGGGATGATTGCTGAGTCTTAATTTAGCCACAACATTCTCTGTGTTTCAGCAAATTGAATGATGTTTCATGACAAATTTTATTTTGAGAAATAAAATTTATTGTGAGAAATATTTGCACACTTATCTTAATATGAGAAAATCAAAATAAGCACCTTATCTTTCAGAACAAAGTAAACATATGTAAGTAAGCACACACTAATCTGTCATTTTACTCTATAGAACTCTGTATAAAAGCAAGAAACGTTTTCCACAGGCCTATCTTTAAAGGGTTAATGGTGCCAACTGATGACCAACAGTAAAAATGAAAAGTTTTACTTCTTCCCGACAGTGAAAACCACCAACAGTCAAGAATGCATGATTATTTGATGTCATGGCTTTGCTATTAAAAATGTCATTAAAAAAGAAGTCAATGGGGCAAAAGCAGCTGTAAACTTAACAAAAGGTTAGTAAATCTGAACAGTAGACTAGGGTTAAACATGGCATTTCTGTTGTTATTTACTCAAACTTATGACTCCATATTTTGTATATTTTCCATAAAATGGCAGTTTAGTGAAATTCCATGTGATATAAGATCAACAGACAGTATTTTTATAATTATATTAATGTTTTCACTTGGAAATGTTTTATTGACACGGATTTAATTAGGCTTCTGGTTATTAATTAACCATTTGACTATAAGGAACTTGCGAAAAAGTTTACCACTTGCGTTTTAAAAAAGTTTAACATTAACCAATGTAATTTTGAAACCATTTGCATTTACACCTTTTTGAAAATTACCAAAAATGCTGTATTACATATATCAGGCTAGTATTTGAAAGTCTCACCTTTTTAGTAAATGGTATCTGAAAGAAAGTGATGATGTGCTTATGTTAATGTAGAATTCGCTGTAAAATAAGATGCAACTTAATTTAAGTTGTAATGTGAAGTAAACCCACCCTTGAGCAACACGACTGCCAAGTACTTTGCCATTGTGAGTGTTTGTTTGTGCTTGGCTTTAATCTACATAAACATGTACTATGCATGTGCATGATGTCATTGTTTTCAAAGACTCTCTTTTTCAGGTGTTCACGTAGGCACATCAACAGCCGTGTTTTAAACAACTTCTACTTTATTAGCTATTTTCAAATTTGTGTATTCAGTACCAAAATTGCTGATATTTTGTAAACAGAGGCAAAACGTATCAAAAGTTTCCAATTTTGCCTGAAAACTTTGTGTAAACGGCAAATAATTGTGGTTTGATTTAAAAAAAGACCAAAGACAGAATAAAGATGTTTACTCGAACCAGAAACAGGACATGGTGTCATCAGATGTGACCCTAAAAAGGATAGAATTCTCATGCATACCTGATTTTTCCTTCAAAGTCAGTATGTTAGATAGATAGATAGATAGATAGATAGATAGATAGATAGATAGATAGATAGATCGCAAGATAGATAGATAGATAGCAAGATAGATAGATAGATAGCAAGATAGATAGATAGATAGCAAGATAGATAGATAAATAGCAAGATAGATAGATAGATAGATAGATAGATAGATAGATAGATAGATAGATAGATAGATAGATAGATAGATAGATAGATAGATAGATAGATAGATAGATAGATAGATTGATTGATTGATTGATTGATTGATTGATTTTTGTTTATATAACATAAAAATTCTGTCATAATAATGATTGATTTTTTATTTATTTATCAGTATTCAGAAAGTTAAAATAAAAACATTATGAAAAGAGCGTTAAAGAAGTCGTTTGAGAAGATAAGTTGCAGCACGTTTACATTTATGTTCCAGACAATGATTAGTCTTCTTGGAAATCTGGCAAACCACCAACAAGTCAAATTTGTCATTACAATCATCCATCTCTATATAAAATTGACTTGGGGGTGAGTGGATGATGAATCTCTTCTTTTTTTAGGGTAAACAAGGCTTCTGAATACCTTTTTTTTTGTTGCAGGATCAGGTGGTGAAAGAGGACAGTATAGAGGCAGTGGGAGAGCAGCTGAAGGTTTATCACGAGCAGTATCAGGAGAAGAGTCGTGAATATGACGTACTGTACGAGGAATACACACGCTCATCACAAGTAGGCTGCATTTCCTCTCTCTTTCAATTGCATTGGAATCTCATTAACAGTCACTAATGCAGATGTTGTAATGTACGGTCTCGCTCAGGAGTTGCAGATGAAGCGGACTGCCATTGAGGCGTTCAACGAGACCATCAAGATCTTTGAGGAGCAGTGCGAGACCCAGGAGCGCCTCAGTAGAGACAGCATTGAGAAGTTTCGCAGGGAAGGAAACGACAAGGAGATTGAGAGGTAGTCTTGTTTTTCATGATACAAATGTGTCTCGTAATTCCCCTCATTTGAATTCTGGCTGCTATCAGAGGGAAACTTTTTAATTTTTTCAGAATTCAGAGTAACTCGGAGAAGCTGAAGTCTAGAGTGACAGAGATTCATGACAGCAAGAGGAAGTTGGAACTGGATTTGAAGCGGCAAGCTACAGACAATCGAGAGATAGACAAGCTAATGAACAGCTTGAAACCAGACCTCATTCAGCTGAGGAAGCTAAGGGACCAATATCTTGTGTAAGAAATCCACCATGCCATGTGCACACACACATTGCTTCACCCCTTAGTTAAATGAATTGAATATTTTCTACAGGATCCTATACAATAAGATATTTGCATATGTGCAATAGATTAGTCCGTACCTATTGCAAAACTGAAACTAATCTAACAAATAGCTTAAAGTAATGTGCAGGAGTTAGGAGTTGTGCAGGAATTAGCGCAACCCAGTTTGTTAGGAGAAATACATTCAAAAAATGTTTTTAAAATGTAGTATTTTTTTTTATTATGTTTTAAAGACTTCTATTATGCTCAACAAGGTTTTATTGATCGCAATTATGTTTTTATTTAATTCTTGGGATTTGCAAAGTGGAAGTTTTCAGTGTCAGCATTATCTTTATAAATTAATTTTAGGATGCTGGTTTAGCGCTCAACATACTTTTCCTTTTATTGTTACTGAAAAATTTGTTCTGCTTAAAGATTCAAGAAACGCTTGAGTCCTTTTTGTTTTTTTTTGTTTTTAACTTTTAACTTTTAACAGATGTGTGTGTGTTGAGCATCAGTTAAGGCAAAGTTAGCACCTGTCAGCTTTAATTGTGGGGTAAACTGGATAATTTAGAGCTTTTGTTTACTAATTTCATCCTCAGGGTTTAAAATATTTTTTTGGGCGTGATCAAAATCTATGACATATCGCCAATCCAAGCCTGTCCAAGAGATGATGTATCGGTTTATGATTAGGATTCATAGCTGAGTTTTCTTTTCCTATGGGAAGACCCTGCTTCTTAAGTGCTTTCTGAAAGCAAGGCAGACCTGCCTCGCTGTGAGACCTGAGAGTATTTAGCTGTATATGCAGAGTTGTATGTGTTTGTTTCCATGATCCACAAGGTTTGTTGCATGTTTTTTCCCCACAATGCTGTCAGTGCAGATACAGCAAAGCTGTTGGTTTGCAGCAAGCATTGTTGTTGGGAGAGCTGTACTAGAATTGGAGAATGGCAGAATTTCTTTTACCAGTGGAGTTCATTACTATTCAGACACATTCTTTGCATTTGAGCTTTGTAAACTATAAAATGAAGGGTCTCCTCATGGTTTGTGTCTCATTTTGAGAGCCAATTGACAGTTGTTCACTCCCCTCTATTTCCCCTGCTCTGCTGGCCACGTCCACTCCTCCTGCTAGAAGAGCTCCACACCCAACATGAAGTATTTTTTGAAAAAATACTGAGGTAGACTTGAACCAAAAGAGCAGGGTTTCATGGCCCTTTAATATTTTGGCGTAAACCTTTTATTTCTTTGGATAGAAATTGTACAAAATTTTCTGCCTCAGTTTAAATCGAAATGTCTTTACTGTCAACTTCGATTGATTTAATGCATTCTTACTAGCGTTGCACAAAATAATGTTTTAGCATTGATATCTTAATGTTCGCATCGTAAAGATATGCAATGGTGAGTCTGAACTACTAATTGTATGGAATTTATTTGATTAATGCAAAAAACAATCTTACTTAAAATTTTTGTCTTTGTTTTTTGTCCAAATAACTACATTTTAAAGCAAAAAACAGATTATTTTGCGAACCCCACTGGCAGATAATTTAGCTTGTTTTCAGGAAAATCTTTTAATTGTGACTTAATTCTTCTGACGGTGAGTTTTTATTTGAATTTTTTGATATTTGGGCTAAAAACAAGACAAAACAAGGTAAGAAAAGCATTTTTTCTATTGTGGAAGCACAAAATATGATTTATTTTGCTCTGGTGCTGCATTTTGTGCAGGAAATTTTGTGCGGTAACTGCTGCTGAGGTTAACAACGATGATTATGTCTTTACAGATGGCTGACTCAGAAAGGCACCAGGCAAAGGAAGATCAATGAATGGCTGGGAATAAAGAATGAATCAGAGGAGTAAGTTGTTTACCCTTTCTTGAGATACACTTATATAGGTAGGCTCTGCTGTGTTGATGACTGAGACCCGTTTTTGGGATATTTACTGCTGAGATTAAGATGCAATTTGGTCAGTTGGAGCACAAGTGGACACAATCCTGTAAACATCTGGTGTTTTAATCTTGTTCTTTTGTGCACTTTTGATCCTGAGAGCAACAGCTTTCATTTCTGTGCTGTTTGCCATAGGACTATTACAGATGCTGTAGGTTGTTTTTTTTTTCTGTCTTCAAACCACACTTCAAATGCCATCTGAATGACATGATTCAAGTACATTTCTTGTAATGTTTCAAGTCAGTAGGCAACGAGTTCCAAAGTGCTCAGTCTCAATGTGGTAAACACCACTAGAGGGCCTCAGCACACTTTTTTACCAACTGAAAATGCAAAAACAAAACCTAGTTAGTCTTAAGAAAAGGCCTAGTTAGTTGTTTTGTAGAAGTTATCTGCACCATAATTTAGACATCCTAACACACTTTTCAAAAGAAGTGTGAAAAGCATTATGACGCAACATTAAATCATCAACATTTCTGTAAGACCTTACTGTCAAGCTGTTTACTACATTTTCTTATTTAGATTGTTTTGGTTTGAAAACTTTTTAATTAATGTATTTTTTACTAATTTAAATTTATTTATTTAATTTTATTTTAGTGTGACTGCAAAAAAAAAAATTACAAATATTTTGTATATATATTTATTTATTACTGTATTTTGACCCTTTGACTGCCCCACCAAGAAAAACATTTTTGGATTGCATTTCTTAACTCCTAATGTTGCTAGTTAACACACGCCTCCCATACTTTCTAAAATATCAGCCTCTACCAAATGGGTTGACATGTCGATTTATGGTAAAAGTACCGAAATTAATACAAAGACTATAAAAATATGAAGTGTAAGACCAATTTATTTAAAAACATAAAAAATAAACATTTTAAAATAGTAAGTTATCTTTATTTTAATGCGTATCATATATCTGAACATATTTCAGATTCTCATTTAAAATCTTTTCTTGTTTTTTTTTTATTTTTTATTTTTTATTTTTTTATACACAGTAGAACCAAAACCAAGTGTATTAGTGCAACAGGATTATGTTTGTTTGATTATTTTGTAAACCATCAACGCTGTGTGAACCATTATTTAAAACAGTCAAAAAGGTCAACCATTTGGTAGAGCAGGCAGTTAAAGTGTTAAGCCACAATGAAATTAATTCGGGGATCTAACTTTAAAAACAACAACAACAAGCAGCAGGATTATAGTAACTATATTATATTGCAGACTATACATTAATGAAGCAAAACCAAGATATTTTGAACAGCCAAATGAGATCTACAACTAACAGCAATCATGTATGACCTTTTAGCTTCTATTCTCTGCTGGACGACGATGACGATCAAGCGCATCATGACGAGTGCTCCTGGTACGTTGGAGACATCAAGCGCTCGTATGCAGAGGATCTCCTGAGAGGCAAACGCGATGGCACCTTCCTCATCAGAGAGAGCCAGACCCAGAAGGGCTCCTTCGCCTGCTCTGTAGTGTGAGTTACTGAAGCATTGCTCCATCCAGCATCGCACTCACTGCAGATTCCCGATTCTCAAAGCTAAATTCATCCGTCATATTGAAATGCTCTGACTGTGTTTCTGCTGAGTGTATGTGTGTGTTTTATAATTGTTAAGCACTCAACATGCAGCAGAACCAGTCTAATTTGATAACATAATTTGCTTGGTTTGTGGTAGTTCTACTCAGGTTTTTAAATGTAGTTTTATTAAACATAAATAAAATGTTTTAAATGGTGTCACAAAATAAATGGGTAACACTTTCATTTAGGTCACAATTCATGCTAATGACAAACCATTAACTAACACTACTAGCTAAATAAACTACTAATGCTGTTTATTAATAGTAAGGTAGAAGTTGGGTTTAGATTTTGTGTTTTAGGATAAGGGATGCTACTTTAAAAATACTAACGAACAGGTAATTTCTTAACAATAGGCAGGTAATAAGCCAGTAGTTAACAGCATGAATTGTGACCTAAAGTGTTACCATATGTTATCCAGTCCATTAATATAATATTTACAGACAGGATTTACTTTACCATATACTTGGTAATATGTTGTTGTAGGTGATAACAGTTCTTTTGAATGAGCACCTGGAAGTTTTAAATCGCATGCATTTCAAAATTAGAGACACCGTGTAATTAGTGTCTGTTTATAATTCAGTACTCTGCATCATGCCTAAAATCTTGCTAGTCATTTTTATTCCTATGACTATTCTTTGGCTAATCAATCAATAAATCCATCAATCAATCAATCAATTAACTAATCAATCAAATAAAAACATACTTTTGTTCAATATGTGTACCATAGCTTATTAAGTAACTGGATTTTTAATAAACTTTGACACCATGAGAATTTTTTCTTAGCACCCCCACATATTTGTCTTGCTCCCCCTTACCCTAATATAGGAGAAAAAAAAAGAAAAAAATAATAAATATAATAATATTTAATAATAATATTTGACTAGATATTTTTCAAGACACTTCTCTACAGCTTAAAGGGACATTTAAAGGCTTAACTATGTTAATTAGGTTAACTAGGCAGGTTAGAGTAATTAGGCAAGTTATTGTATAACGATGGTTTGTTCTGTAGACTATCAAAAAATATAGCTTTTTATATTATATATTTTTATATTATATTATATTGAATTGGTAGATTAAATGTAAATAAGATGTTACTTGTATGTTTTTTAATTTGCACATTGTCAGTAAATGATCTGCAGAAATTTTAAAAACCATCTGGGCTGTTTTGGGAATAGTGCTCATGACAAATTGCCCTGTTTGGTAAATCTGGCCCAAAGTGTGCCATTTGTGTTAGCCAATTTGAATAATCTGAAGTTAGTGCTGAACATATTTTTTTACTCAGAAGGCCATATCTCTGACACCAGGGAAAAAACATCTACAAACCAAGTATATTTATAATGTAGTTATATTTTTTAAAGTATGTGAATGAACAAGTATATGTCATATATATTAAGACTTTTCTGTCAGTATATTTAAAAGTACATTTAAAAGTACATAAAATAATTACAAAGTTCACTTAAAGAATACTTTCTATTTTGTTTGTTTGAAAGTAGTATACTAATAGCTAGGACTGCACAATTTTGGAAAAATCTGACATTGCGATATTTTGCTTTTCTGAGGTATATACTGCGATACAAATACAATTTCACCAAATGGCCTGAATAGCTCTTTTTGGGGGAAAATCTTGAATTTAGATTGATTGTGGTGATTTTGTAAGGGTGTGAATGAAGTATAATAAACAAATTGCTAGCCAGATTAATTACAACAGATCAAAAAAAAGTCAAACTAGTACAGAAATTAAGTGATGAAATTAATTCCTCATTAAAGTTACAAATGTTGTACTTTTTTGTACCCGAATACTTCAAACACTCTTGAAAATGCCTTTAAAACACATGCAAGTGATAACGTTTCACTCTGTATGGTTGCCATGACTCCACAAATCTCATGTATTCTCAACTGTTGTGCTGAACAACTATAATCCCTCAACATTGCATATCCTGCAATGTGACTATTGCGTACACACATTGCAGTATTGATGCTGAAACAATTGGCCCAATCCCAATTCTATTTTTGTACCCCTTCCCCTTTCCCCTTCCCCTTGGCCCTTAAAATGGAGGGTTAAGGGGAAGGGCTTCAAAATTTACCCCTAAGAATTGGGACAGCACTTCAGTACCTGCACACGTCATCATATGTCCTCGCGATTTCTTGCTTCCAATGAGATCAGATGATCGCGACTGCTGGAGTGATTCCAGTTGTGTTATTTTTTGGTATTTATCTTCAGGAAATCACTGAAGGCATATATTATATTATCATAATGATCTAATGATCTAATCTAATGGTAATAAGATCGTAATACTGTGCCTTTACACAGTGGCCATACTCATCAATGTAAACACACAAAAACAGCATTAACATTATAGCAGACAGTGTAAAATGCTCATTCCCAGCCACTAGACTTTTCTGACAGGGCATTCCAGTGTCATCGAGTGTCAGAATGTTGTTAGACTGCTGTGCAGGAGTTATGGCAAAACGAGGGGTAGGGGTAAGGGGAAGGGCTAAGGGGTAGAATTGGGATTGGGCCAATATATTGCGCAGCCGTACTAATAGCACACTTGAATAAACCTTTTTTTTTTTTTTTTTATAAGGGATGCACTTTCAAAGGATGAGGACTTAAAAAATCGAGAAAAAAAAGCTAATGCTATAATGCACACTCACTGACCTCTTTATTAGGTACACCCTACTAGCACCGTGTTGGTCCCCCTTTTGCCTTCAGAACTCCCTTAGTCGATTAACAAGGTGCTGGAAATTTTCCTCAGATTTTGGTCCATATTGACATGAAAGCATCACACAGTTGCTGCAGATTTGTCAGCTGCAAATCTCCCATTCCACCACATCTCAAAGATGCTCTATAGCACAGGTGTCAAACTCAGTTCCAAAAGGGCCGCAGCTCTGCACGGTTTAGTTCCAACCCTAATTAAGCACACCTGATCAAACTAATTGAGTCCTTCAGGCTTGTTTGAAACCTACAGGTAAGTGTGTTGGGGCAGGGTTGGAACTAAACTGTGCAGGGCTTCGGCCCTCCAGGAATTGAGTTTGACACCCCTTCTCTATTGGATTGAGATCTGGTGACTGTAGAGGCCATTTGAGTACAGTGAACTCATTGTCATGTTCAAGAAACCAGTCTGAGATGATTTGGGCTTTATGACATGGCGTGTTATCCTGCTGGAAGTAGCCTTTAGAAGATGGGTACACTATGGTTAATACTATTTTATACCACACAGGAAGGCTGTGGTGTTGACACGATGCCTAATTGGTACTAATGGGTACCTTGGTTGTAATGAGTGGTTATTTGACTTACTGTTGTCTTTCTATCAGCTCTTACCAGTCTAGCCATCCGTAACCTCTGGCATTAACAAAGCATATGCGCCTACAGAACTGCCACTCACTGGATATTTTCTCTTTTTCAGACCATTCTCTGTAAATCCTAGAGATGGTTGTGCATGAAAATCACAGTAGATCAGCAGTTTCTGAAGTACTCAGACCAGCCTGTCTGGCACCAACAACCATATCACATTCAAAGTCACTTACATCACCTTTCTTCCCCATTCTAATGCTCAGTTTGAACTGCAGCAGATCGCTTTGACCATGTCTACATGCCTAAAATGCATTGAGTTTCTGCCATGTGATTGGCTGATTAGAAATTTGCATTAATGAGCAGTTAGACGTGTACCTAATTAAGTGGCCGGTTAGTGTATATTATGACAAAATAAGCTGCCTTTTTTTACCTTGGAAATGTGTGAACCTTGAGTAATAGTCCTCTGATACAAAATTAGAAAATAATATTTGAACACTATTTAGACAAGAACTAGATCCTCCTCGTTGACTCATCTTCCTCTTTTTTTCAACAGTGTGGAAGGAGAAATCAAACATTGTGTGGTTTACAAGACGGCCACAGGTTTCGGATTTGCTGAACCCTACAACCTTTACGGCTCCTTGAAAGACTTGGTCCTGCACTACAAACACACGTCTCTGGTCCAGCACAACGACTCGCTGAATGTAACCCTGGCCTACCCGGTGCTCGCACAGCAGCCTAGATGAGCACCGCTTCACCACATGGCCCGGGACACGCATATAAAGCATGATTAAGCACATTATTCAGAGCAAAATATACTAACACCCAACGTTTATGTTTATCGTAGAGAACAGATAAGCACAGCATATTATCGTTAAGTAAACGTACGGCTTTTTTGTAAGCCCATAGTTTTTCCATATCGATCAAAGTCAGCTGCAGTAGTTACGGTAAGATCACAGCTTTTCTGTATTTGTCGTCTCAACATGAGATGGATAGCGTCACACGATTCCACAAACGCTCAAACTAGTGTGGCAGTCCTAGATTTCATCAGTTTCTGATTGGGATTGAGGGCAGGATAAGATGAGGAATGAACTAAAGGATGCAGCTGTTGATAATCAATCTTATAGCTGTTCCGTCACTGTGTGTTCGTTTGGTAGTTTGCTTCTGCCAATCATATGAGTAGATTCCTCTTTATGTGAGTTGTCTTCTAGAAGATGTGAAACCAATCTTTTCTTTTCTTTTTTTTTTATCAGACATGCTTGAGGGACTCTGACGTCCTTTTAGTTTCTAATTTGCCTCTTTTAAGCTTAGACGCCATGGTCAGAATAAATAGCCATCAGCAATTGCCTGCTTTTCTGTGAGATGGTTCCACACAGAGCTGAAGTCTGGCATCTTAAAGGATTAGTTCACTTCACAAATGAAAGTCTCCTGAGATTTTAACTACTCCTTTTTATCCAAGATGTGAATTTCTTCCTTTAGTCAAAAGGAAATTTAGATTTTTAAGGAGAGCATAGATCCTTCTGTGTTGATCAGTGATTTTTAAATTGCAGTTTTAAAAGGCGTTACATGATCCCAGCTTGAGGAATAGCATCTTACCCAGCAAAATGATCATTGTTTTTTTTTTTTTAAAAAGGAAAGTTTATGTACTTTAGCCGAAAAAGCTCATCTTTTTATGGAAAATGGCAATTTTTTTGACTAGGTAAGACCCTTAAGGGCTGGTAACACCAAACGCCAAACAACTAGCACCAACAAAACTCAACTGTCTGTGGCAATCTTGATGAACCAGTGTTTGTTGCGGCGTCAACTAAAAAAAAAAAATCAAGCCTGGGGAATTTTTTTCTTCTTAAATGACACTTTTTTTGTGTGGCGTTTGGCACGTTGGTGTGGGCAATCACATTGGAACCCTTTGTTTAGTCAAGGTGCGAAATTGAATTAAAATTGCAGTTTGGGAGTTTAAACCACTGAGCATAGAAGTCTAATAAATTGAGAAAAATCCTGCATGTCTTCCTCAAAAACCTTAGTTTCCTTTGGACCAAAGTGAGAAAGAATATAACAGCTTGCAAGACAGTGGGGTGAGTATATCATCAGTAGTTTTTCATTCTGTAAGTGAACCAATCCTTTAGTAGTTTTTGTGGGCTGGTATTGGTGCTTTTTGGTGCTTTATTTTTGTAACTCTTGTAATGTGAGAATGATGCATAGCTATAGCGAACCGTTAAGATCCAGCACCGAACAAAGGTGATCCAAAGCAATGACGCGCACAGGAGCTTCCACTCGCTTTGACTCACTCGATCAAACGTGGATCTGATTTCAGATTTTTGAGGAAATCATGGGGTGGAAGTTGAGGTATTGTGGTAGTAAATGAATTCTAATGTTGTTGGGGCGTTTTTGTAACTGTTCTCCCCTTAATGTGTCATTCTTCCATCTTGGCTTGTGCTGTTATTCATAGTCAGATGATACACGGGGTGTGTATCATACAGTCAGCTGGATTAAAAAAAAAAAAAAAATATATATATATATATATACACACACACACACGTATATTTTTGATGAGCAGTCGTGATTTTGTATGAAGCCGAATCAGATAGCATTTTGTTTTGCTTGCTAGGAATCAGTGATTAAATGTGAAGATTTTTGGAGGGTAAAGAGTTTAAAAAGTGCCTTCTGCCCTTGTGAGGAGCCTTCCTGTGGTTGGGGCAGTACAGAATGCTTTGCTTCAATAGGTTTGTGTGTATAGTTACACAAAAAATAAGAGATCAGATAAGAGATTCTCTGGGTTTCTTGAATTTATGATTGTGTTATTTGAGTAAAATGTATTTTTGTGATTTGGTAGAACGTAATTTCTGTCATTTATTTGGAAAAATAAAAGCGATAAATGACGCCGATTTTAAATGATATCAAACCTTAATATCAAATATTAACATTTTGCTCAAAGATATACCTAATAAATTCAATAAATCCATAGAAACAACAGGTCTCTTAATTATTCCATAGCTATATACAGTATAGCCCTACAACCAGTTATAAGCAACAAGTTACGCAAGGGCAAAATTATACAAAATACTTTTTTCCAAAACAGGAGGATAATCTAATCAAGCACATTCTGTTACATTATAGTAAATCACTAGTTATGGCTTAATTGGGAGTGTCAAGTTAAAGAATACTGCATGATAAATGTAAGGACCTATAAAACTTTTATGCATTAAATAAGGTCTTAACCAGTATGCACTTTACCAGTTCATTTGAGTTACCCTTTTCATCCATTTTTTACAAGCTTATATTTAAAGCCTGTTGACATGAGGATGAATGTTCGAAGTGAGAAACATTTCAAGTTTCTATAATGCATCTTTTTAGACTGAAACATGCAGTCTCAGTCCTTCCATTGACACATTTGCACAGTGGAAACGCAAACTCGTGCAAATTTAGCTGAGTTCCAAAGTTGAAGTTTGGTAAACTTTGGCCGCTGACTTCATATCACATGAAGACATGTGGTTTATGGATGATTAGCATGACTTTCAGCTGAATTAAAAGACCACCCACTTGAAATCTGCAATAAATATAGTAGATTACATTTGGGATAAATTCTTTAGAATAAAGTGCAAGTCTTGTGTAAACAAGGTTTGACACAAACATTCTCAGTTTAAAAAGAGGTTTTTTTTTTTTTATAATGGAAAGGTATTAAAATCTCTTACCTACTGCACTACAAATACAACTGTCTAACCAGAGAGATTCACTCAGTTGGCCACCACTGTTTTAGAAAACTACAAACTCTTAAAAAAAGATCCTTCATAATAATAATAATAAAAAAACATGGGTAGCCACTGTATTTCTATGGTGTTTCTGTAAACGCCATCTACTGTCAGAGATTTAAACTGCATTGTCATTCAGCACTTTTGCCTTTCTTAAATACATTAGTATGGACAGAAAAAACATTATATGAATATCAGTCTGAATTTCTGTTCTGAACATTCATGTTAGTGTGTACAGGCTTTTGTACATTTTAGCCGATATAAAAAACTAGCTATATTCAGTTTAGAAGGGAAAATTTACATTAAAGCTGATGCTTGGTTTGCACCAAATGCAGTACACTGTCACTTGCTCTTATTTACTCGGGGATGTTTTCCCCTAACACAATTTTTAGTTTGAGTTCAATTATTTGAACTGGCGTGGTTTAAGGCAAATTCTGCATGTTTGCAGCAAATTTGTCGCACATTCACATCGTTCACGCCATGTGGTGTGAATAGGGTATATGCAGAGCTGGTGTTTTTCAGCCACAAAATAAACCTCTGGTAAATGGTTATCGTGACAATTTTTAATTTTGTAGGGTTCCTTTTGCAGCATCGATGTTGTAGTGTAATTAAAGATTAAGCAGTTAAATAGACTTATAGCACAGGTGTCAAACTCACTTCCAAAAGGGCCGCAGCTCTGCACAGTTTAGTTCCAACCCTAATTAAGCACACCTGATTAAACTAATTGAGTCCTTTAGGCTTGTTTGAAACCTACAGGTAAGTGTGTTGGAGCAGGGTTGGAACTAAACTGTGCAGGGCTTCGGCCCTCCAGGAATTGAGTTTGACACCCCTGACTTATAGCATTCGGCTGTAAAAAGAGATGAAAGACTCGAGTGCCGTCAAGGATTAGAATATGAGAAATTCTTCCTTATTATTTTGGCATGGCACAGAACAAGAGTTAAGTGCTTCTTGTTCACTCTGAGACCCACTCTATATTGGAAATCAATCAGGCAATGAAGATCGTTGATTTTTAAAGAAATCAGATCTTAAACGCTGCAATATTTTAATGGCATGACAGTTCACCAGAAGTGCTTGAGTTGACTTACTGAAAATTAAATGCCCTTATGCATATACCCAATATGCCTCCATTTGCATTGACTTAGCATATATTTTACTTGTGTGAATTTTTAGTTCTGCATTTGGTGTGAACCCAGCATAAACCTTGAAACTTGACACTAGCCCATATTTAGTATATTCAACCTTTGCTTTTGACATCCTCCTTTTTGATAATCTTGGTTATAAAACAACAACAGACTTTCAACTGGCACAGGCTACTTTGTTTTACAGCGTAACGTGTTTGTCTGTATCCTCCAGATTTTGTCCTATCGCTATAGGATGAAGTTGTTTTGCTATGGTGGCGTAGAGAGAGAGGGAGAGAGAGAGCTGAGACACTGGTTATGATTCCTTGAATGTTCTGACTGACTGACGTCGAGAGCACAGAGAATGAGCCAGAGTGCTGGAAGAGACGAGTTAATAAAGCAGTGGAGTGAAATCCTCTAAATGCACTATACAAGCACATCTTGAGGTGATTATGAGTGACAATTAATGAAGCTTGACAGCCTTTATGAGCAACAGAAATAGGCTAGGTACACATTTTAGTTACAGGCCTGTAGTGTCATAATGTGTTATGATCATGCCGAAGTGGGTCTGTTCTTTGTTTTTTGTTTTTCTTTAACTCCTTATTAAAGAGAGACTATAGTTGTATGTCGATGTTTTGTTTTTATGTTTCATTGTAAGTAATGACCTTACGGATTCAACGATAAGCTAGCTTGAATATCTTTCTTCCATTCAGTACAGTTACAAATGTTTACAGTATCTGATTAACCAAATAGAAGATGTGTTTTCAGACGTGCTCTGTCCGCTCTGTCAGACGCCGTATCTTGTCTTTAATTTGTGCCTCTATTTTTTTAAACTTGACCATTTTGTTTTCCTTCTTTGTTCACTTTAAATGGTGCTCCCCATCCCCACGTCTTATGAACTAAAAAACCTTTTATTTAAAAGTATGGAAGCCCATTTCTGCCACTGACTAATAAAACATCAAATAAAGCAAAATGAAAAAGTCAGAATTCTGAGTTATTAAGTCAGAACTTGAAATTTTGACTTTAAAACTTGGAATTCTAACTTTAAAACTTGGATATGACTTCAAAACTCGGAATTTGGACTTTAAAACTCGGAATTCTGACTTTGTAACTTGGAATTGCGACTTTATTAGTCAAAATTTTGAGTTATAAAGTCAGAATTTCGAGTTCTACTTTATAACTTGGAATTCTGACTTAAAAAAATTAAAACAGAATTCCAAGTTATAAAGTAGAACTCAAATCTGAATTAAGCTATACGAGCTTATATGAGCTATACATAAGTGTAGCTCAGAGCAGGTTGGCCAACTTTATACAGCTTTTATATACACGCATTGCTGAAATTTTCTGCATCTGAAAGCTCAAAATAAAGAGGCAAACAGACACATCTGAGTGTGTTGATTGCATTACTAATCATTTATTATACTCATTGACTCGGACTTTGAGGGGAAAAAAACTCTGAGGAAAGAGTTTAATTAAAATATAATTGCAAGATAAAAACTAAAGAGTCTTTATCTTCATAAGCTTTCTCTTGTTTCTTATTTTCTTATTTTGAATGCAAAAAAATATATATATATGCAAAATGTGAGAAAAGAGAATTGTTTGAAAAAAATATTTACATAATTTTCATGCAAATTAAAACAAATTTTGAGAAAAAATAACTGATATAAATTTGAAAAAAGTTTTTAATCCATAAATTCTTTTGCAATTGTGATGTTTTATCCTTTAACTGCCTGCTCTACCAAATGGTTGACCTCATTTTGACTGTTTTAAATAATGACTGTTATCGTCATTTAGAGAATGACTGTTTTAAATAATGGTAATAATGGTAAATACACACAGCATTGTTGTTGGTTTACAAAAGAATCAAACAAACAGAAACCTGCTGCACTAATACACTTGATTTAAGTGTTATTGTAAAAAACAGACAAACAAGAAAGCATGAGAAAATTAGAAAAATGTTAAACTTCAAAAAATGAATACAATTTAGTGTTCAAAAACGTTTATTTTTTTTTAATGTTTTAAAAAATTGTTCTTCATTTTTTCATAGCATATGTATTTTTGTTTTTCTTGGTAGGGCAGTTAAAGGGTTAAAGCACTAAACAAAAAAATAAATAATCAGAAAAGTAAAAAATGTGAGTCAAAAAGTTGCAATAACTTATTTTTTCTTGTTGTTTTTTGTTGCATCTCACATTCTGTCTCCTAAAATGAATTCAACTTTAAATGCCATATAAGAGTTAACTTGTTCATAAAATGCCTTTTTGACCAAATATTCCCATTTGTGATGTCTTTTTAGTGGAAATTTTGTATTTAGTGATGAAGCATTTGCTTGCTTATCTTAACTTCGCTGTTTTATTATAGTCCATTAATGAAATTTGATAAAGTCTTTTAAAATGTAGTTTTCATGACGTTTTCTTCTGAAGTGTCTTTCTGAGCACAAGCTGCCCGTGCTTACTGCCTGATAAGAGCAACAAGTCAGATGCCAAAGCTTTCAGATGCAGACATATTTTCTTTTGACTAGGTTTCAAGTTACACAGGGACAAAAGAGTCCCGAATGAAAGGTTTTGACTTGTATACTGATGGCCATCTCACTTCCTTATGCAGTTTTGGCTAGCACAAGAACTAAAATCAGCAGTTCTTTTT